CTCCCAGAATTCCTCAGCCAGCCATGGAATTCCCTGGCTGGGGAATTCTGGGAGTTGAAGTCCACTCATCTTAAAGTGGCCAAGTTTGGACAACACTGCTCTAGATAAAAATAAATGCATTGCCCAACCTATCATTAATGTCTTCATCACCAAACGTTAGGGTGGGAACCACCAGTTTAGAGCACAATCCTACCCTTATCGGCTCAGAATTTACTGGCTATATCTACGTGTGCTTGCCACTGTAAAGGATTAGTAGATTACCATCATACTTCCTCCTTCCCCTGTAGCTGATTAACCAGGGATAGAGATAAACTCTATAATTCAGAACAAGAGTAGTTGTCATTTCTGGCTTGTAATGGAGTTCAAATTCAGCTTCCAAAAACACAAAAATAATGGCTGGTTCAAGTTAGGGCAAAGTACTAAGACAATAGGTAAGCCTTCATTTTTGGTTAAGAAACCATATCCAAGAGGGGGCAGTAAGTGGGTGCTACAGACACATGACTGCATAAAGTTAGTGTATTGCGTTCTATGGAACTTATTCAAAAGTATGCATGTTTGGGATGCCAGCCACATTAATGGGAGATACTGTTGTCTTTGCGTCCTGTTAACTAGATACAACTTCCAGGTTCATCATGTGTTTAGTAATAGCTCAAGGGACAGAATAGAAAAATGCAACCTGTTAGTTGGGCAACTTGACAGATGATCAGACCTGTTCAAATTACACACACACCCAACACAAACATTCACTCAGCACTTTAAAGAGAACAATGGTGGCTATTTTTCCTGTTGACAGGTATCACTAGTGGGAGGGGAAACAAAGTCAAGGAAATCCACCATTCCTGTTCCTTAACTTGTCTTGCATTCAAATGGCAAGAAAGGTACTAGCTCTTGGCCTTGCTACTGATGCAAAATGCAGCTTGATGGTGGCTGCATCAATTTTACCCTTCTGTGAGCTCAAATGCTTTCAGGGTGTACTTTCATGTGGCCATCTGGCTGTACCCTTCAAAATGGATATACTGGAAAGTAGAAAATGTTGAATTCTAAAGCGCACTTTTATTTTAGTACTGAGGCATTATCACAGCCATATACTTATTTTCTTAGGCAAGTTACTCTTTTTAAGCCTTCTTCCCTTCTAAAAAAAAATTGTGTAGCTACCCACACTCATTATTTCCAACTTCCCTTAGTGATCCCCAGTCCAACCCGAGGATGCCATTAAAGCAGTATCAGATGCCTGCAAACAGAGAAAAAAAGGGCCCTTGTGTGTTGTTAATAGATTTCTTAGGTTATAACAGCTAAAAATATAACTCTGACAGGCAGGATTTCAAACCAATGGATTTTGGATCTGATAGCAGCTCAGCTCAGCTGAAAAATGCACTTTGTACACCACAGGTATAACTCTGTTTCATTCATTACTAAGAATTCTGAGTAAAGTTTTGGTAAAGCAAAACCCTTGTCTTGATAGCAGCTGCCTGCGTTTGAAAGCACCGTGCTTATCATCTGGCAGGAGAGGCAGGGAAAAGGACTGAGGGAGGAAAAAAAAAATCTATAGCTCAGTAAAAATACACATACATTTCAAGTACAAAAATCCCAACTTAAACCTAAACATCTGTAATTAAATCAACTCCTCTAACAGAGAATAGGATTGAGAAAAAGACATGCCAGAAAATCCTGGGGTTGTAGGGTAGGTTAGGGTTAGGGTTAGGGTTTAAGTTTAAAAAAGAAAAAAATGACAATATGAAACCATTTCCGTATTGTGGCCAGGAAAAACACATGGATGCGTCCGTGAAAACACCAAGAGTCAAGGAAGCGCAAGGGAGATTTCATCTACAATACTCCTTGATCAAGGAGAGTTTCTCTTCCTTTTAGGACAGGGAATCCACTGTTAAGTAGCTAAGATGGTGAGGTAGCTTATACTAAGGCTTACGGTCAATGCTTTTTGCTTTTAATGTGACTTATTAGTTTAAACCAGTGTTTCTCAACCTTGGCAAATTTCAGGTATCTGGACTTCAACTCCCAGAATTCCCCAGCCAACATGCCGCTGGGGAATTCTAGGAGTTGAACTCTACATAACGTAATGTTGAGATTGAGAAATACGGGTTTAAACCCTCTCTTACAGAACAAGTGAAAGCAGTCACTTATGTGGGAGTCCTTCAAATATCTGAGGATAGCCCTCTCTTCTCAAGATTAAATATGCTACACCCAACCTGCATTTCTGCTAGGGGTGTAGGTGGATAAGGAGAGGACTACAGTGGTACCTCTAGTTATGAACTTAATCCGTTCCATGACTCTGGTTGCAACTCGAGTTGGTAAAAACTCGAGGTAAATTTTCCCATAAGGTTCAATGTAAATACGGCTAATC